GCTTGTTAAATGATAATTGTATTTGATTGTTTGAATCATTGTTTCCGCGCTGTTTGCTTATTGGACCATTGAGGATCATTATTTATGATAATAGTAATCCGGGTCGAAATTTTTTTTGTTTGACGGGTTGGGTCGTCAAAATCTTTATCATCCTCCTTTCTTTTCGGGAAGAGATCGTTTTCACCTTCCTCCCTTTACAAGAAGAAAATTTTTCCATCAATTTTCCTTTTTGTGAAAAGTGGTTGTTGCACGGTCGCAATACCGAGTATAATCTCCAACATACTCATCGCTTGTCTTTTTGTGTAACGGTCTCCACGATACAAAAAGAAGCAATATGTTTCGTTTCGACGTAATCCGGAGATGAGGATTGGTATTCAACATCACACTTTAAAGTGACGAAATTGCAACATTCCAGCTATGCATATGTTGGTCTCTACTGACGCATTGGAGCTTTGTCTTCAATTAGCTGTCAATCTTCTATGAAAATGTATTTGTTTTCCTTATCGTAATTTTATTTATTGTGGCAACCATGTATCTCCATACAATTTATCCGAAGGAAAAATAAGTGAAGGGAAAAAGAAATGAAACAAGAAACTTCCCTAGGAAAACGAAAGTTATAAAAATTAGGGATCCCAAAATTTGTATATTATTAAGGAAAATGTATTTTTTTTGTTCATTAGACAGTACAAGACCTAGGATATCATATACATACATTAATTTACTCATCCATATATCTCTTTAAAGAGTAAAATGTTTCATCAAACCCTAACATAAGAATGAAAAGATCTATTAATCAAGGTTCTCACAACTAAGCAACAGTGAGATGTGACTACGAAATGTTTCTTCCCTACAAGGAATCGTCAAGCCGCCCATCGGGTGATTGAACCCGAACTCTTCCTCTGCGCAACGAAGGAAATCTCTAAACAAAGGATGGTTTAAGTACGATATGGGAACAACGAACCTCTTCTTCTCCACTTGTTCTCCTACATAAACCGCTACATGTCCTTTTGGAACAACCTCTAATTTTGATGATGATGAAGATTGCTTTTTGTTCTTGAAAGATTGTGACTTAAAAAGTTGTTTCCCGTTTGGAATCATCGATCGCATCAAACCCATCTCGTGTTCTCTTTTTTTCCCCTTTCTAACGTAATTTTATCAAATTGAGGAAGCAAAAGTGGCTTGAGAGATAAGGAATATCAAGAGCGCATCTATTTATAATAGAGTTTTAAGTTTTTTTTTTTTTTTGCTAACAATATATATAGAGTTATAAGTTCAAAAGAAGATATATTTTTAAATTGATTAATGGTTCAATTAAAGATCAAAAGGTGATATGTATCGTCAAGATATGAAAATATTTAAATGCAGATAAATACAATAATTAAAAAAAGAACAATAATGTAGTAATAAACCCATAACTTGTAGGCTGTTTGGTTAATTCAGTGATCCATATGTGACCTGTAATATCTAAATTAAACAATATATTGGAATGGAATACATTTAAGGGAAAGTAGAGTCTCGAGGTTGTGAATAATATATAATGTGACTTGGGTCTTATCAAGTGGATCTTAAATCTTCCACTAGTTATACCATAATTTGAGAAATGAAAACGAACATGCTGATCTGTCCTTTACAAAACTAGGGGCCGTACACTGGTAGTGGTAGGCATGGAGCGAACGAGGATTACTACATTTTGCAAGTAGTTTATTTGATTTGATAGATCTCAGCTTTATATAATAGGATTAAACCTTTCATTGTTTTTTTGCTCTTGTATGTAGTATCTATTTCTTAACTAAACCACAAAATGCACTATTTTGAATAAAATTTTGTTGTTAGTTATAAGCGCAACGACAAATGCAAATGTAAATCGAGTTTCCGTTTGCATTTATTTCCTAAAAAATAATCTTACGGAAAAGGAAAAATATAGTTTCAAGTGTGAAAAAACAATTCACATTTAGAAATACAAACGCATTCATTAGTGGATGCTACAGCTACAATTAGAACTACTACTAAAAATAGAATTGCACAGAAAGGGAGAATTCAGTTGGAGCTCTTTGGAAGGCAATGATTGACAGATGCACTCTTTACTTATTGGGGTCTATAAATAAATATATCTTTATTCTTCCATCACTTTGCAAACTTCACTATGTAACCAACAATCTTATATATAATTTGTATGAAGTATGTTGCATTTATTACATGAGTACCTCACTCACAAATAAATACACTTCCCCTAAAAATTTTTGTTACATCAAAATATATTTGTTAAAAAATTAATTTATCAAAATACATTTGGTGTTTGGATTGCTGTAAAACCCGACTAATTTATCACGGATAAAACAACAACCGTCATAAAACCCACAAATCTTAGAACATTTCGAATCTATTATTCTATTTTTACTTTAAAATAGAGTTGAATTTCACTCCAACTCAATTCTACTTAGAAATAAAAATGAAGTAATAAATATGATTCTTTCATATTTGAACTAATCCTATGTTTTACTCTATTTTGGAGTTGAAAATAGAATATGATCGGAGAAAACTCTACTCCAATTTGAATTTAGAATGAAAAAATAGAATATATTGGAGATGCTCTTAGTGACCTAACAACATCAATTTAGAGTGATTATCTATTTTAGCAAAAATAAGCCAATTCTCGGGTAACATGATCCATGCAACTTTCAATTATACTGTACATTCGACAATTTGTGTAAGCTTTTGAGCAAAATAATATTTCTAAGTTCCATGTGTGGGGACGCTGTGGTCTTACATATAAGGTTATATACGTAAATTTGTTATATCTTC